GGAGCTCATTACTTCGGCTACCACCAAGAATAAGAATGGCAAATAAAGTCACAAATTGAAGCATGCGACATCGTTTAAAGGGGTATCCCCAAGCGCACGTATTCGCTACGCTGACGCATGCACTGTACAACTTGATCGTGTGTCAGATCGAGTGCATTGTTGTTGTTCACCAGCCAGATAGCTGCGCCCTTGACAATGCCGCACTGGTCTGCCAGGCCTTTGGCATCTATCTCAGATACACGCACTGGCTTCTCGCCCGCCAGGGCAAAACCATAGGATGTTGAAGCAACAGGTCGACGCAATTCCACTGTTTTAAGCGTGGAGATCACCACTAGCTCCAAGCTGTGAGACTGCTTGCCCATCAGTGCCTCGAGCTTGGCCAGAGGCTCTTGTCGCACGTTGGTTCCATTGATGGACCAGATTTGATCACCGACGCGTAGGCCAGCGTGTCGTGCACTCCCGTCTCGGTGGATGGATTTGATGCTCACCAGGCTGCGTGGGGATGGCTGCCAAAGCGAAAAGCCATAGCCGCGTGACGAGTTGTGCACGACAAGCGTGCGGAGGGTTGGTTCCACCACAATAGCCGCATGGCTGCCACACTTTTGCAATGCGCGCTCGACGCCTGCCACATCTGAGTTGCGAATATCCATCCCTTCCACGCTCCACAACCGATCGCCAAGCCGCAAGCCTGCCTTTTCAGCCGGTCCACCCGGTTGTACCCTGATCAACAACGCAATGTCCCCAATATCAACCGGCGCAAAGAACCACGCCAGTTGTGCCAGTGGTGTGCGAACATGCCTGACCCGACCAGTCGGGTAGTCAGTCGGTGCTTTGCACGTACCCGCAGACGTAGACCGGGTTACAACCACGGAGGGATACGCCAAAGTTGTTGTGATCCGCACGCAAGAGTTGACAAGTGTAGAGCGCCTTGCAGACAATCAAACGAAGATTCACGTTGCGGCTGAGCGCCACCAATTCCATCAGGCCCTGCAAAATCAATATCCACACCCAATCGCACGTGTCGACAAAACCAAAGGAACCCTGTGAGAGCCGACCTCAGGGTCAAAGGGCTGCATGCAGCACAAAAAAGGAGGCGTCGATCGTACGTCGTGAGAGAGACTATCAATCTTCAAGCTGTGAATGCTGACAACGCAGTCGCTACTGGTGAGCCCCGCTCGCGCTGCGGGCCCATCTGGCTGAACTTCACCGACATAACCCGGGTTGTCAGAACGAAGGCTGAATCCAAAGTCACCGCCCGAGCCATCAATCTGTAACATGCGAGGCCGAGGCTCGATGGGCTGCAAGGCCTCATGATTAACCACACGATTGGGGCTGCTACCTGCAGCCGTGGGTATGCGATCCAGCAAGCGAGCCAGGCGCTCCTTCTCCTCGAGCGTCTCGGCTTTGAGAAGCAGTGAAGTCGCTTCGTGGGTGACGTAAATATGTGGCACATTCTCATCAAAGTCAATCCGAAGCTTGTCCCGCGATAAAACCGGCACCTCCGGCGTTGGGACATAGCGCTGCGCCTTGTTTGATGTTGGCTGCGTCACGATGACGACGTCGTTGAAGAGAAACAGCTACGAAATAAAGAGCCACCAACATGTGACCGGAGCGCATGTGAGACGTCATTATCAGTCCGGCCTTGTGAGAACATCTAGCCTTCTAGCAAAGAGGTTCAAACGCACCACGGCGGGAAAAAACTTGTGCTTGGCTTTTCGTCGGAACGTGCGTCGTGCAAAAGAAAGTTCGACCTCCACCTGTTTCGATGATAAACAGGGATTATGGGAAAAAAAAAATTGAAAAAGTGACATGAGGAGGAAAGCACATGCAAAGGCAAAGAAGGTGGCTGCAGATTGGGGCAAGACAAGGCATGGGTCTGACTTGGAGGATGCTGGTAATTACTCACTTGGCGTAGGAATTTGCGGCCAGCATGTTGTAACTTTAAAAAGCTGGGATCAAGCTGTAGAATTGTACCAATGCGGTGCATGGCCAGCTGATCCGCAGACTCTCGCCGAGCCGATATCATTCTAAAAAGCATTCGCCGACGACAGATGGTACCGATGAGCGTGCCATCCAGTCCTGAGAGTGTGCTCAAAGCCTCCTTGGAGAAGGAGATGACACGCGTTTGGTGTCTGGAGTGGCCTTTGCTGACGGCGAGTATCAACTCACGCGCGCCGAACAGAGTTGAGCTTGTCCTGAAATTGTTGCAAAGCGAAAAAGTCTTCATCCGATTCGGTGGCAATTTGTAGCAGTGAGTTGATAAGAGTTTGTAGCTGGGACACGTGCTCCAGGGGTATGCGAAGAAGCTCCAGCAGTGTGGGCTCATCGGGATGGGTGCGCTGTCGGTCGTGCACAAATGCTGCAAAGTCTGACTTGCCACTCAGCAAGTCTTGCACCTTGGCTTCGGCCTGAGGTCTGCCGAATGGAGCAAAATAAAAGTGAGTTAAGCCATCGGAGGTGTCTGAACGGCAAAAAAAAAAAAAAAAAAAAAAAAAAACTCATCTCAATCACATACAAGGTGGTGGCATATACGAGGTAGTCATTGGAAGCGTTGTCCAGCAGCGTCAAAAGGCTCAAACCGACAGCACTCTCGTGTTCGATGGACATCTGCACACCAAGGGGGGCGAAGATTATGGATGAGAGTACGCCGGGCTTGCCTAGTCTGGGAGTGACACAGCTTGCGTGGTGGCGGTTTGACCTACATTGATGGCTTTAAGATAATCGACAGCACTGGCAAATAGCACTTCAATGTTGCTAAAGACCAGGCCATGCTCTTCGGACGTCATGTCCAAAAGCAAGGGTTCCGTAAAACTTTTGGTGAGATGGCGCAAGCGGCGCACGTATTCTGTCTGTTCTTCCAGCATGCGCGTCATCAACGGTTCGCGGCGGTCTTGGTACTCCAGTTCTAGTTCTTGGACGGCAGCAGTGGGGAGCGCAAAGCTGCCGGTTGACGAAGTGAGCTCCATGTCCAGTGGAGAGCTCGAGCTGGGCGGACGGGATGTTCGTGACGTCACGCCTTGTACATCAGCCCAGGCTACTTCCTGTAGGAAGCAAAGAGGTCAAAAGTGAAGAATCGCAAACAGCAAGAAGCACGCTCAATTTGAAAATGGAGGGCATTGCAGCGAAGAGCGGTGGTCCGTTGGTCTGGCCGGGTACCGGATGGGTCAAGCCACAAGACGTACCATTTCGCCTTCATCCTCGTAGCCCTTGAAAATGACAGTCACACTTTCCGTATCAATGCTGACGGAGGCGATGGTCGCTGGATAATACTCATTATCGGCTACATATCGGGCCCTAAAAGCCAAAAGGCGGGTTTCTACCAGCTGAGTAGCCGTTTTGGGCGGGGCGTGTGGGCCGAGGAGGAGGAACAAGCAGTTGAAGCAGGAGTAAGACCGCTCGCGCAGTGTGTAACGTACAGACAGTGAGCCCCCACACGTAGCTTTGGGGCAGATGCTGAAATGAGATCCATGGGCGGGGACGAATCACTGGGCCGTTTCTGGGGTGCAGCCATGACCTGTGCGGCAATCGGGACAAGCCAGCGTGATCATCTGATGATTCGGGGCGTCGCGCACGCTGCAACCAGTCAACAAGTAAGGCCATACCCGTGGGGTGCTACGTGCTGCCAGCTCGGGGGACACGAGGAGGAACCAGCCTTGTAAAATGCTGCCTATCATGATCAGATCCGCACCAGCATGGTGTACAGAAAGAAGGATCAGGTCTCGTCTCAACTCGGGAAGAGGTCGAAGCGTGACGCGAAAACGTACGAGATTCACAGAGCTGGGCCAAGGGAAAAGAGACACCACCGAGGCAATGCGGACCGCCATCTTGGTTGTCCCAGACCATCACATGCAGGCGGGTATCTGAGGGTGATTCAGGATCCAAAACGCTGCGAACAAAAGCGCTTCACGTCAGGCGCGCGCGTGCACCCTCGGGCGTGGACGGCGGTGCAGTGCGCGACAACCACATACAAGGCAAAGCTTTCCTCCCATGCCGGTGCATAGGTGCCTTCCAGCACGCGCGACTGGAGTTGATAGTGCGTGGGGTCCTGGCCACCGAGCACGAGCGCATGAGTAAAGGCGGGTCGTGGCACGAGCAAGAGCAGAGCATCACGTAGAAAAGCAAGCGCATACTGCGTGAAAGGGGAGGGGATCGATGAAGACGTTGGCAAAGGCTTTAGAAGTGCCGAGTCGCGGCTTTGTATCGACGCTGGCATCGACCTGCAGCCGCGCCTCGTGCACGGCCACAAGCAACGTCTCATCCGAATGTATGTAAACGGCGCTCAGCTTCAAAAGGCGGTTCCGGCGAGAGGTAGAGCTGGTGCGTGGCCTATCCCGCACGCCAAGGCATCCCAGTGCAACGAGAAGAATCAACTGAATGTCCACGTTGTTGAGGCGCAATCGGGTTTCGGTAACGTTCTTCGGTGCTTGCGAAAGCTCTTTTGCTGTTCCGGGGCACTCCATTGCCGTTTCGGAGCATCAGGGCTGGAAGGAACACAAATCTCAGCGTACGTACCTTTCGAAGGAGTTTTCAGTTGCACCGTTGCTCCCTCTCCGCCCTTGCGTTCGGTAACTAGACCACCCTCGATGAGGTGTGCCGTGCACATGGTGAGAAGAGGCTCAAAATGATTCAGATCGGTCTGGCGTGCGTCCACGATGCCGCAAACGCCAGTGCATCTGTCCCACAACTATTTTCTTTTTCTCTTGCCCTTTAGACGCTGCACCTTTGCCCGGCTCACTGCTGTTGCAACTGCGCTGCGCTGCGCTTCAAAGGTTCAATCTAACCTGAAGGGGTGGAGCTCAGCCATGGTGGCACCTGGACCTCTGACGCCTGGGGATCTGTGCGCCAAAGAGGTGCCAGACACTCTGCCTCGAGTCCGACCCGAGCACGCTGGCCTACGGCACGATCGCAGTCATGAGCCAGCCGTTCAACGCCCCATCAACCGGCCGGCCATCGCCGTTTACCACGACCCATTTGCCAATAAACCAGCACCATGCACCCATCATACCGCGCTCTCCTCCTCCATAAACAGCTGCCCGATGCTTGTCCTCTCAGAAGAGGTCGGATGCGGAGGAAGGGCAAGTGTGCGTGATCGTGCGATCGAAGAGTGAGAGAACGATCCCTCCCACCCAGTGCTGTTAGAGAAACTGTGTTCATTGTCACACTTTTCTTATCAGACGACCAAATGAATTGTCAGCATTAAGGTGAGCACGTTGTGTGTGTGTGTGTGTGTGTGTGTGTGTGCATCCAAAAAGGTGTCAGGCACTTCCGAAAGCAGTTGGTATCTGTGCTGTACGGCAACACGACGACCTGACGAGGGGGGGTTTGTGATCTTCCAGCATGGCGTTGGCTATGCGCAAGTGGCAGGAGCTGGTTGATTCGGAGTTTGATGGACGACACTTTTACCTCAACGCACCTGGTACGCGGCGGGGCATTGGATGCGCAAGACGGCTGGTTCTGCCTAGCCCAACTCCATCTATCTCACTGTGGGCATGTGAGGCAGGTCGATGCTTGTTGCCACGACGCGGGGCGCAAGCTCTGGCGGCGGCTGGCATCTTGGCCCAACAGGGACAGGTTGAAGGTAGGACTTCCGCCATCTGTCCCGTAGAGTCTGGGTGGGGGTGCGTGTTGACGCCAGCTATTCTCCTGAGCGAGCGCGCGCACACGACGACTTGGTAGACACGGCGGCGCTGGCCTCGAGCGTGCAAAAGCAATTCCTTGCTGTGCTGGGACTTGATGCGGTTTGTCCTGCTCAGCATGCTTGAGCAAACTGTCTTTTTGAATCGGAAGACTTTGCCTGTCTTGATGCTGGCGCGCAATTGGTGCTGATGCCATGGTTTTGCATTTTTTGCTCGTTGGCGGTCACTGATGGGCACTTTCTTGTGCCCAGGCTCAAGCGGAGCAGCGGGCCATGGACGTACTTTTCGCGCCAAGCACCAGCTATGTGATGAGTCTGATTGCACATAACATTGCGCTTCCACCGCGTACACGGGTTCGACCAGCCTCTCTCCCGTGGCTAACTGTCCGTCCAGGGCTTGGCCCTTGATGACGGTACCTGATCACTGGGTGCATGTGTGTTGTGGACTATGGCGCTCATTCAGGTTTTAGTGCTGGATCAACAAATGTCCAGCAACGTGTACGCGTGGCAAGAGATCCTCCATCGCCGATGCCAGAGCGAGCTACATGTGGTTAAACGGTCCAACGAGGAGGACGATTGGACAACGCTGGTGTTGCGGGATCTGCAAAGTTTAGGTGCCAAGGTGGGCCTAGTGGCCGTGCCTCAATTCCATTGGTGCGATGGAGCGGCTCTGGATCTGGTCGCCATCAGTGAATGCTGTCAGCAGGTCGGTTATTCCCCCTTGTGGGTTGTTACGCACCTGGAGATAAGAACGATGGCATGACACTGTCCCATCGAGCTCACGCTTGTTGGGCCGTGCAGTTGAACATCCCTTTGGTGCTCGATCTGACTCAGTCAGCGGGAGTAGTTCCTCTGGACTGGAAGCGCGTGCGGCCTATGGCAGTGGCCGCCAGCATCCACAAATGGCTTCTGGGGCCGTATGGCATGTGTCTGGCCTGGCTGGATCGTGATTTTGCTCGCCACTTTGTTGCCATGGAGGCCCATGAGAAGCATCGGTGCGCGCCCTCGTCCGTACACGCCCGTGTGGTTTGATTCCCGATTCGCCTCGCACTGTTGGCGTGCAACACCCCGTAACAAGCTTTTTCTGATTGCCAGGGTTGGCGCCGATGACGAAGCCTGGGACAATAATGGTCTCATGACCACTGCCGGCTACCCGACTGCTGAGATAGAGGGTAGCCAGCGCTTGGGCGTTGGAGGTACGTGATAAAAGGCTGATGCTCCGTGTTTGCCCGCTTGCCCTGTGCCTGCCTGACATCAGTGCTGACGTGCCGTCACGGACTGGCCTGGTTGTCGCTTGAGATCTTGCCAGGCCGGCCCCACCCGTTGCTCTTGCCTGTAGCTGCGGCTGGACTAAGCGTGGTGCTCGAGGCAGAGACTGCACGGATCTGTGCTCACTCAGCGCAGCTCATGCAGCAGCTATGTGCGGGCCTTGCTGCCCTGGGATTTGTCGTGCCTGCCCGCCATGCAGATCATTTTGTTGGATTTCGTGACGCCCCAGGACAAAACGATCGCCTGCCACAACTGGCGCTGGCATTAAGCCCCCATCTCACCGTTGCACGGCGCAACGGTGCACTACGCATCGGCCTGCACCTCTACAACACGGAGCAGGATGTCGCCCGGTTTCTTCAGCTCTGCCACGACCATCTCCCACCAAGCTGCTCCTCCCCTCCGGCCTGTCTCCCATAGCCTCCCACTTTTGCGGGCTTGTGTATTGTTGTGGACCAAAAAAGACGACTTTAATAATTGATTCTTTGCTCAAGTGCCCCTTGCCTGTTCGTTGACCTTTGTTCATCTGACAAAAAATCTGACATGGACCATGCATGGGCTCCTTACAGTAGAGTGCGCTCAAGAGAAATACATCGTGCGGCACACACACACTTGCTCCTTTAGCCCTTTGAGCTTTTCGACTTGACGCACTCGCTCACACACACACCACTGCCGCGTCTTGTTTTTTTTGCCCGCCGTCACGTCACGTCGCGTCGCGTGTTCGGGGCACCAGCGAGCTTGGTTGTTGGTTCTTGATTTGATCTGGCAGTGCCTGAGTGGAGGTGAGTCCATTGACTGTGCTGACTGAATCGGGTCTGTCGCTGGCTCTCAACAGCTCTCCCACGTGTGGCCGTGGGCCTCGCGCGCTGTCGCCCAGTCCCGCTTGCTGTCCTACGAGTCCTCATGTCGCCATCTGCTTCCTCCCGCCCGTAGGTGCGCGGCAAGCCCTTGGCCTCACGTGCTGATTTCCACACTTGTTCTTCGCGTGACCCTTCCTCCTACATCAGCTTGACTAGTCATGTTGCGTGTACTGGCCGTCGCTGCCGCAGGCGGTGTTGGGGTGGCAGCCTACATTAAGGGCAGCGAAGCGCGTGCAATCAGCAGTCGCCTTGACCCTCATGAGCCCCTGCTGGCAGCTGCTGAGAAGGACGGCTGGGTCCGTCAGCGCCGCTCCATCCGTTTTTCCTCGCCCATCACCTCGTCAGACACAAGCCATCATGTGCACGGCGACCTGACCATCGACTGCTACGCCAATGGCATCACCGGTGACATTGACAAGAAGAACTTTACGCTTTTTGTGGCCCCTCCCTCCATGGTCGCCTCGCGCAGCATTTTCCTTGAGATGGCCCCCTTTGTGAGCAACACTTTTGGAGTCACTGAAATGCCCAGCTTTGGCGTGAACCAGATTGACCTCCGTGCCTCCCAGCTTAACGCCGAAGTTATGGAGCATGGCCTCGAACAGACCCTCCGCACCTTGCAAAAGGAGGACCCCAAGCATGAGGGCGCGTACGTCGTAGCTGCAGGTCACGCCGGCTTTTACGCTCTCAAGCTCGCGCAGCGCTGCCCGGAACTGTTCTCCTCTCTTGTCCTTCTGAACCCCACCTTCCGCGGCCCGCTCACGACAGCCGCCTTCAACAAGCAGGAGGAGGGTGATACAATCAGCGCCATGGGCCTGGGCGCTTTGCGCCGCGCCCTGTGGGCCCTCATGCGCATCCCTTTCCTGGGTGAAGCACTGAACGCAGCCTCCAACAGTCCCGAGAACATCAAAAAGCACCTCCTGTCCCATGTCTACTCGGATGAGGCGCACGTAACAGAAGAGGTGGTGGCCCTGAACGAAGAGTTTGCTCTGGCGGGTAACCACCTGCCCAAGGCCGCCTTCTTGACCGGTCAGCTGGACCCCCTCCGTGAGCGCGAGGATTTGACGCCTCTTCTCGAGGGTGGCTTCAAGGTTCCGACGATGATCCTCTTGGGCCATGACTCGCCCGCGAGCGTCAAAGCCGATGTACAGCCCTTGTTTGTCAAGGCTGATGAGCGCGCGCAGACGGGTGAAGGGGAGCGTAGCATTGGCGTGGACACGCCTGGAGCTCTCCGCTCCTTTGTTGAGTACCCATCCCTGGTCGGCAATTTGGTCCGCGCCCACATTCAGCAATATTGCTGATCCATCATTGCCGAGTCGCCTCCGTCCCTCTCCCTGGGTGTCACCTGTCGCTTCCCCCTCCCTCCTTCTCTCTCTCCCTCCCTCTCTCTCTTTCTCTCTCTCGCTCTCTTCCAGTTTGTTTCAGGTGCATGCCCCATTCCCCCAATGCTCTCAATGCTCTGTAACTTTTGCTTGGATTTGTATTGTTTAATGTTTTGCTCGTCTCTTGTCCTGGGCCCAGCGCCCTTGTGTCTGGGCATCTTGTGACCCGTGTTGCTTGATGTCGACCGTTGACCATTGCCTGCCCTCTTCACCGCCACCCATAAAATTGTTCACCTGCAGTTTCTCCCGTTCCCCCTTTGCTTCGCTCATTTTCTTTTTTTCTTTTTTTTTTTTTTAAAAATCCGCTTCGGAAATTGAGGTCGGAAGGAAAAGGAGCCACCTCCTGCCCATCTCCTCTCAGGCAGGCACTCAACCCTCGATGAAGCGCCAGGGTCAAAATGAGTAAAAACGGGCCTTTATCACACCTGATGGGAGATTGACCAGCCATCACCGTCAGACGAAACTTGAGGTTCCTACCCTTGCCCTTGGTTGGTCAATGAACAAACCACGAGTGATTGACAGGCACCAATACAGGAGAACGACCAGGCGGTGATCACCCATCCCCCAGCACGCGCGTGTCGTCCCTGCGGCTCCACCCAGCCCAACGCGACCGTCCCGGCTCTGCGAACGAACGTGTCCGCAATGTCATCTTGCCCATGACCCCGGTTGATCATCATCATCATCTCCACCATCTGCACATGTAAACACGAAGAAAAGGGCAGCCCCCCCACCAAGCCCTCGTTCATGTCATGCAAGGCAGTGAATGGCAGGATGGATGATGCCTCGTACTGACTGCAGAACTGCGTGGTCAAGTGTGTGCGTTGCCGTGTGATGCCCTTGAGAACAGGGGCGGGAGAGGGCGCGTTGCATTTTCATCCTGACCCCTCATGTCCCACTTGTATCGTATCCTTTGTGTTTTGGACTTGCGCCAGTGCTTGAAAGACCAAAGCACCTTCGAGGACTTTCTGCTCGCCTCCAGTCTCAAGACGGCTTCTGGCTTGCGCGCCGGTCGTGCTTTTCCCACTGTTCTCCATTGCATTTGCGTTCTTTCTGCTACATAAGACACTCAGATCTCGCTTTCCTCGCAGGCATCATGCCATCAGTGCAGTGCAACAACTGTCACCAAAGGCTCGAGGCCCCGCCAGGCGCCCCCGTGGTCCAATGCGGCATCTGTCACAGCATTGTACATGTCAACTCAACCGGTCCCTACGGCATCATGCCTCCGTCCATGCATGGCTCCCATCCCAGTGGACCTTATCCATCTTCACCATACGGTGGGCCAGCCGGCCTCTATCCGCCTCCAATGTCCGGCCACGGCAGCCTGAGCAGCAGCAGCACCCCGCAGGCGGCCCCGGGTCACCACCCTGCATACCCACCGCGCCATGGCCCTGGGGGCACTGGACCCACGCCTCTGCCCTCAGCCTCTGCCGGGTATCATCAGCCCTCAGCTCCCTCGGTACGCCCTGCCTCGCGTGATGCCCCACCCGCCAATTCTGAGCCCGTCCGTGGCGGCTCGTGTTATGTACACGCTCATTGCGCGCACTCATTGCGCGTCTGCACACAAATTGCCTGAAACCCAGATATCCCCAGAGGCCGGTGCACCCCGTGAGTTGCCGTTTTCCCATCCTTACCGGCTCGGTCTGGTTTAACCGCCCCACAACTCACTGCCTTACCTCGTCACCAGGTGTCACCAAACGCAAAGCCATGCTTGTGGGCATCAATTACCTCGGTACCTCGGCCGAGCTAGGCGGCTGCATCAACGATGCAAACGTATGTCCACACCGACTACACCATACCCCGCTTCTTCGTCGTGCCACCTCCTTTTGCCCTGCTTGCTCATGCGGCGACTGAGATGCGGCTTTTTTGGTATGATAGTGCATGAAGTATTTGCTCAAAAAACGCTTTGGGTATCAAGACTCAGACATTCTGCTGTTGACCGAGGACAATCCCAACCCGGTTATGCATCCAACCCGCCGCAACATCATCAACGTTAGTATCTGGGGGCGCTCTTTGATGAGGCCTTTGCTTCTTGATTGGGTTCGCTGCAGTGCCCGTGTTTCTTGGTATCTTATTCGGCAACATGCGCTCAGGGCTTCAAGTGGCTGGTGGATGGCGCTGCGGCTGGTGACTCGCTCTTTTTCCACTATTCCGGCCATGGCAGCCAGAAAAAGGATCGAACCGGAGATGAGCTCGACGGCTACGACGAAACAATCCTGCCTCTGGTACGAAGGGAGACTGGGTTTCGCGAGATCAAATTTCCATGACTGTGTGGTTTGCATGGCTTGCTCACCTCAACTTGGGGACATTTCAGGATTACAAACGCGAGGGTCAGATCACGGACGATGAGATTTTCGACCGCATGATTCGTCCCCTACCTGCGGGCTGTCGACTGCATTGCGTTGTTGATGCCTGTCACAGCGGCTCTGGTACGGTTCACACTCGGCCGCGGATGAAGCACCTTGTTCCACGCAGCTGCATCTGCGTGTATTTATGGAATGGCACCAGCCAGCGTGTCCAACCTGACATTGACCCCCTGCCTTGTCTGGCATAGTGACCGACCTCCCGTACGCATTGCAAAAGGATTGCCGCAGCTGGTATCAAGCCTCACGCATCTACAAGGGCACGGAAGGCTTTGTAAGCTGCTGTCCTTGGTACCGGATCGTGCTTGACCATGTCTTGCTGTCGTCGCCGTGTGGAACAGACCAAAGCCTCTTTTCCAGACAAGTCCAATAAGATTGCTCATAAGGATACTGATTTGTTGGCGTGGTCTTCTGGCCGGGCTCTTAGGTTGTGTGTTTTGCAGCTTGCGATGACCGACAGACAAGTGCCGACACATCGGCACTGGCCAAGAATGCCCGCACGGGTGCCATGACCTTTTGCTTTATTGAAGCTATTGAAGGTGGTTATGGCGATACCTATCGCAGGTCAGCGAGTCGAGCCGATTGCCTGCATCAGCACATGAAAGCTGCACTGTTGGTTTGCTCACTCTTGATGGGTCGCGTTCGACCTGAATGGACAGCATCATGCAGCGTGTGCAGCACCGGCTCAAATCAGCACAAGCCCCCGGCGGTGGCTTTTCCTTTTCAAACCCGAGCGACATTGTTACGGGTGTTCTAGGTACGAATTGGAGGGACGCGGCCCCGTGTTTGTCTGGCTGTGTCTGGCTGTGTCTGGCTGTGTCTGGCTGTGTCTGGCTGTGTCTGGCTGTGTCTGGCTGTGTCTGGCTGTGTGTACGTGCGACGGGAGACGTGTGCGCAAAAAGGTCGCGCCTGCTCACAGGCAAATCTGGATGCTGTAGGCATGTTGGTGACGGGTGGCCACTTTCGGCCAAGTGCAGGCTTTCCCCAAGTCCCCTTGCTCTCCTCCTCGAAGCAGTTCGACCCCAATACCAGCTTTTACTTGTAAGACATGGCTCGGAGCGACCAGTGGCAAGTTGTGAATAGAAAAGAGCTCTGGCCCAGGGCATGTTGAGACGTGTTTGCTTTGAATCCCCAAGTTGGGGTTGTCAAAGTTCACATGCATATGAGTCCAGTGTTTGTTGGTCCTGGCCTTGTGGCGCGCATGCTGCGCTGTTCGAGCCCGCGTAAGCAGACTTCGGGCAAGGGAACACTGTGAGGAATGTCCTGGACGTGGGTGCTGGTCACCATCAATTCATCAATTAACATAAGTGCAATATCATTCCTTGCGCCTACTTGGCGTCTGTGTTGCTAGGGGCCGGGCTCTGCTGGATGGCCGGTGTCTTGTAAGTGCGCATCTCGCCGTCCGAGTCGAGGGAGAGGTCAAACATCAGCAGATAGGCACCATGACAAAAGGCCGCGCCCAAGGTGGAGAAGTATGCAATTTGGCGAGCTTTGTGCTGCTTGCGCAAGGCAATGCGGATGATGGGGAGAAGTGGTGCATACACCAACGGCACCTACACGTGCAGCAAAGGTCACCGAGGGTGGAGTCAGCGAAAGGCAAAATTCGAGAGAGAAAAGAAAAATACAGAAGCAACAGCCCAGCAGGATGAGGCAGACAAATCAGGCAGCCAAGCGCAGGCAGCCAAGCGCAGACACACCAGCAGCTTGAAGGGCGGAGAGCGACGAGGTTCGCGGTTCATCTTGACAGTGGGCCTTCTAACTGAACGGGGCAAGAGCAATTGAGCCCGTGAATGGCAGCGCGATGATGCATCCCCAGCGGCGGCCGTGGGCGTGATGCAATCCTTGGTCTGACGCACCTGCAACAACAAACAGGGCTTACTACTCCTGGGCCAAGCTCAACTGTACGCACTACAATGAAGGAAAATGCAAGCACGCGTCAGGTCATCCAAAAACGAACGATCGTCCATCCAAACCACAAGGCTCGGGCTGTGCCATCATAGCCAGGGTTCGGGTCCAGGACGGGCACGCACCCGAACCAATGGCCGCAGAGCAGAGCCTCCTGGCACCTTTGCTGTTTGTGTTGTGAGGTGAGGAGCCCGACGCAACACCACACACACACACACACTCACACATTTCATTTCATGGTGGCGGGAAATGATGACAATCTGACAAAAATTGTGCTCTATTTCGTGCTGACATCTGACATTTTGTTGGCTGTGTTGGCAACAGATGTTGTCATCAGGAGATATTTACCGAGGTTTGAACCTTTTCCAGGCACTTTTTTATCTCGCATAGACGGTTCATGATGGTAAGCATGATGGAGAAAAAAAAACATCTGGCTCGAGGTCTGGACGGGGTGTGCGAGGGGCATGCACGAGGATGTGAGATAGAGGCTGCCAAATGGAAATGCTTGCGAGTCAGCTGCGCCCCGAGGCACCTGGTACCCCTCTTTCTGCTTGTCGCAGTGGGCAGGATGGTTGCCGCGGACCCTGATGCGAGCCAGAGGAAGCTCTCTTTTGAGCTTGAGGAGCCAATCCGCTCGGGCTGGCTCGCGTTCTGCAGTCCCTTCTCTACCCCCATCCTTCGTGGTCGGGACGGGGTGCCTTGCGAGAGACAGCAGCGTGCTCGAATGTGCAAGCTCTGTAGATGCGCTTTGTTCCTCTGAAAGGCAGAACGAATGGGTCAAGCTGTTCAAGCCAGCTCTCATGTTGCCGAGCTTTTGAGCGCGTGTCTTGGGCTCGGCCAAGGCGGGGGGGGGGGCGGGCTTCAGCGTCATGCTCGATGATGGACTCTTTGATGATCAACACACATCATTCCTGCGAATTTGATCAGGAACTGTTTGTCTCAGCTCTTTACTTATTTTTTTGATCATTTTTTTGACGCCCATGCTCGCAGGCTGACGCCGCCACCATCCGAACTCGCAAGTTCATCTCCAACCGTCTGCTCGCCCGCAAGCAGATGGTACGTCTGTTCTCATGTCTGCATCGTCGCGTGCAAGCGGTCCCCTACGATTCTGGCTGCTGTGCTTTTGGGCGCGAGATCGGCTTGAAATATCTTTGCTTACCCCATATGAAAACTTGCTGCTGCTGTAGGTCGTGGATGTGATCCACCCGGGTCTCGCCAACGTCTCGAAGTCGGATCTGCGCGAGAAGCTCGCGGCCGCCTACAAGACGACTGCTGACCTCGTCGTCTGCTTTGGCTTCAGGACACAGTTTGGCGGTGGCAAGGTGCGTTGCTTCTGGGGCACTTCTTTTCATGTGCTTTTTTTTATTTTTTAGCATGGGTTCTTTGAGATGCCGAGGCATACCAAGGCGCCACATTCATGCTCTTGATCCCCTGCCCATTTCAACGTTCGGTGTACATGTTAACTCATGGTTGTATGTCGTTCTTGCGCCTTGTAGAGCACCGGCTTTGCGCTGATCTACGACAGCGTCGATGCCATGAAGCACTTCGAGCCCAAGCACCGTCTTGTTCGCGCTGGCCTGGCCACCGCCAAGTCTGGCTCGCGCAAGCAGAAGAAGGAGCGCAAGAACCGTGACAAGAAGTTCCGCGGTGTCAAGCGCACCAAGTAAAAAGGGACTCGATCCAGCTCTTGAGCAGGCCGAATCCATAAGCATTCAAAATATTTTCATTCCATCATTGGTATGCCACTCTTCCAGTTGTTGCACTTGACGAGCATGGAGCATGGTGATCTTGATGCGGGATACATTTATGGTCAGGTAAAATTCTTGCAAGTGGGCAAAGGGGGCTCAATTATGGTGGTGGCCATGAGGCTTTCATCAAAGTTTACTTACATGTTGATGTTAAAAGGTGGCAATAAAAAAAAACACTTCAACAATTAACACTCAAAAGAGAGGAACGAGCACGGGAAACAAGAAAGATCGCTGTCTCGGATGTCTGCTGCTGTTGCAACAAAAGAAAGGGGAAGACCCTGGAACCTCAACTCGTGCCTTGAGTTTCGTCTGTCGCAGGCTTGTCTTTAGCTACCTGAAGAGACCCCTCAGACGTGGCGGCCACCGAGGATGCGTCTTCGCGCAGCGGTTCGGAGGCTGCACTCGGGGCAGCCTTGTCTGGAGCCGCAATCGTGGCGGCCACCGAAACATCCTCCTTCGCTTGCTTGCCGTCCGTGGTGGTTTCGGTCGCGGGTGTTTCCCGGGGAGCGACTGAAGTATCTTCCACCTTGACTGCTGCACTTTGGACGCCTTCCGCCGCAGGTGTGTCCTGAATAGCAGCCGACGCCGCGTCCTCTCCCACCTCAACTGGGGCGTCCGAAGTTGATTCGGCCGGCCGTGTCTCCTGGCGAGACGAGGCCTGTTCTTCCGTCACGGCTGTAGTTTCAGCTGAGATAGTGTCGGGCCTGGGTGTCGTCTCAGGCGCGCTTTCAGTCAAAGTGTCCACAGCATCGCTGAATTTCTCATCCGGTAGGTCGCTCGCGTCCTTCACATCGCTCGCGTCCTTGACATCAGCCTCGCCACTTGAGGAGGGCGGGGTCTTAGCCGAGGGCTGGCCGTGCTGCGAGTTGGCTGTTGCAGGCCCCTGCACATTCTCCTCGCCAGAGACATTGGGTTGAGTCGAGGCCGTTGCACTCACTTCCGCCATGTCTGCCGCCTCGGTGGCAGCTGGAGTGACAGTCTGGGCCAGGCTGGCACCCGAATCGCCGTCTGCCTTTGATTCAGATGGCTTGTCGGCCGACAACTGCTCGGGTGCCTCGGTCGGAGCCAATGACTCCGCCGGGCGCTCAGGCGTGCTACCCGCCACCAAGGCTTTGCTTGGTGCGTTGGACTCTGACGGCACCGAGGTCGCAGCTGTAGTGTCCTTCGACTCGGTCTTGATGCAAACATCCATTGCCTCCGCGCCTGTTTCCACCATTGGTTGAATGCTCGGTTCTGTGGCTGTCGCCAATTCAGCACTGGCCGAGGCCAACGTCTGCGTGGCCGCTTTCTCAGCGGCTGCCTCATCGGTTGAGCCTGAGGCATCATGGCTCGCCAAAGGAACAGATGTGACCTCACATCCCACGTTGGCCTCTGAGGGTCCTTGGCCCGACGCGGACAACTGGGTTTTAGAAGTGGGGCTGGATGCTTGATCCGAAACAGGACCTGTCGCGGGAAGCGCGAGGTTGGGGGCACTCGAAGCGGACACGACATTGGTATCACGTGATGCTTGCGTGTGGGTGATGCCGCTGGAGGCTGACTGCTCGGCATTCAAATGTCCTGAGCTTGACCCGAGCGTTGCAGTCGTGTCCGGCGGGGGGTCTGGGCGAGCTCGCTTTGCGAGCGGCTCGTCGCCTGTGGCGCTCTCGGGCGCAACCGCTGTGTCAGCGCTAGCTAATGCAGCATCGGCTTCTTCGAGTGCAGGGCGTTTGGTCGGTGGAGCGCCTGCATCAGCAATTTGTGTGTCTTCTTGGTCTGGTTTAGCCAGAGATGGCCGTGTATTCGACTCTGGGTGCTCGACATCATCGCTCGTTCGCTTGCCCGAAGTCACCGTCGGGTTCTCATGGCTTGTGGTCACAGCTCCAGTCTCACTGTCACCGGAACCAGGAGCTGCGACAACGACGCCCGTGGTGGTCTCGGCAGGCGCAGGCGCAGTCGGCCGCAGGCCCGCCATCTTACCCTCAAGCTGTGGGTTAGACCTCTCGCTGATTGCCAAGTCTGGACGACTCCCGGGCGTTGAGAGCGCCGCACTGCTTTCCTTGGCTGGTGCTGCCACACTCGCCTCTGTAGATTCATTGCGCACATCATCCATGGCCTCATCCATCGCTCCAGGCAGCGTTGAGCCACCGGTAAGCGTTGCTGCCGACGATCCAGCTGTGCTACCTGCAGGCGGCTCGGGTGCGCTGGCTGACATGCCTGGTGATACCCCTTGCGTTGTGCTGGGCAAAGTAGAGCTCATGTTTGCTGAGCTAGATGCCTCGGGCTCTGACTGGTCACGGGATTGTGACCCATCTGGTGCTGCTTCTGGTTGACCCGATGTGGGCTGTGGTTGTGATTGAGCATCCGCTTGGTTTGCTGGCTCGGAAACTCCAGTCGCCTGCTGATCTTCGCGGCCCGTCTCCGAACCCTCGGTTGCATCACGATCCCGACGATCGCGCTCGGCCCATTCGCGCTCCTGGCGGGCCTGACGCTCGCGCCGCTTAGCCTCCCACTCGAGATTCTCCCGCTCAGCTTGGGCCCGCTCGCGCTCCAGCTTTTGTTGCTCCTCACGCCGCTTGGCGGCCAACGTCTCCTCTTTCTGTGAGACACATGCAATCGCAATCGATGGGCAGTCATGTGTAGACATGTGAGTTGAAATGGCGGGGCGAAGCTGGACGCAGTCACTTGCAGGATCTTGATGTATCAAAAGGCACAAACCTTGACTTCGCACGCTTTCAAGTATGTGGCAAGGACTTGGAGATTGGAAATGATAAGCTGGGCCAGCTCTTGTTCAGCAGCTGAGGGGGGGAAAGAGCCATTCCGATTGCTCATGCTGTTCTGTTTGCGCACTTGCAAGGCATCGTTGAGTGCAACCAAACAAGGTTTCATCAGGTTGAGTCGTTCTTGAATCAGAGCTGTGCGGCAGGGAGGAAGTATGACAGGGCAACGGTGAGCTGCGGAAGAACAAACTAGCATGGTGTGTACCGCGTAGCCAAGCGCTACACAAATTTGAAAACCATGACACTCCACAGATAAATTTGACTGTACCTTTGCCACAGTCGGCTCGCTCTTCTTCAACTTGCTCGGGTGTATGTTTGGGCTTGGGCTTACGTAGCTTGAGATCGCTTGACGCATCGCCTATACACCAGCGAGTGCAGACGTGAGACATGTAACATGGGTATAGTTAACTGAAGAAGACCACAAGAGGTAATCTCGGATACACACCTTCGGTAAGCTGAGTGAGACGAAGGCGGACAAAGCTTTCGGCCAAAGGACCGGCACCGTCAGCAAAGCGGCGCATCGAGTCCACGTGATGCTGGTGAGCAAAAGCATGGTCGGGGTTAGTCATTGAGCAGGGGGCACGATGCGGGCTGGCTGGGATCATGACCAGGCGGAGAGGCAAGCGGTGAAGAGGAAAGAGACAAAGCATGGAAGGGGCAAGAGCCAGCAATCTCGCACCTGTAGATCCCGGTCCACAAAGGTAGGAAGGGGTTTTGATGGCTGGCGAATGACTTCATTGTGACGGTAGGCGCGCAACTTTTGAAGGCGTTGCTGAATGTTGATCGAGGGCAGTGCGGTGTGGCTCAGCTGCATTCGCTTGGGCGTCCGGGGCGTTTCGGTAGCGTTGGAGAGTTTGAGCTCGTGAAAAAAGTAAGCAGGGGCTTCGTCATCGTCGGCTCCGGCAGCTGCCCCAAACTCGCCGCCGTTTGCAAACGGGGCGGCACTAGCAGCGCCGGAAGCTGTCTTCTGGCCTCTGTCTTTGTCGGTAGCTGACCCGGCCGAGATGTAGCCAAAAACAGTATCAGCCCACTCTCCCTCTTCCAAGTCTAGCCGCAGTCGCGCCGCCGCGCTGCGAATGTCGGGGATGTCTGAGAGCCAATCTGGGCTGGGAAAGAGTTGGTCGAGGTCTGGGAGGGGAACGGGTGGTTGAGCCTCGATGGGGACATCAAAAGCAACAATGTTCGAGTCAGCCCGTTCCAAAATGGGTGTGTGAGCTGCTGACGCTTTTGGAGAACGGCCCGTTGTGCTGGCAGCCCCACCCTGGAGTTCCTCCAGCTTTGGTCGCTTGCTATAGTGGAGATATGAATGGTAAGGCCGTGAGTCTGGAGCACTTGGGCGTGCCGTTTCGGCCTTTTTTTTTAAAAAAAAATAGTTGTCAAATTAGCCTTACCTTTCCGGGATCCCAGCGCGCGAGAAGGCGTCGTGCAAGGCGGCGGGAAGCTTCTTGTTCTCAGCGTTGGCGGCTCGGCGAGCTCTGTACCGGCAGGTGGGGAGCCAGCAATAAGGTGAACACTTGGGCGCGCAAAGCTTCGAAGGAGGCAAACGCGAGGGGAAGAGATCGGTTGGGGGCGCACATCTCGAAAATACGCTCTCCCTCAGTGTAGACGAGCGATTCTTCTTGATTGTAATACAGGCAGTTGTCGTGCATGAGCTTCATGTCCGCCTGTGACCGATTCCAGCGTGAGGTGGGGGAGCTGGTGTCACAAGGATGGATGGCCGTCGAAGGAGCCAGCAGAAAAGCACGAGGATTGCAGCTGGAGTTGATACCATGTACTGATTAATGGAGAGGTACTTGAAGGTTTCAATCTTGTCGCGCATCGTCTGCATGTCCATTGGTTCGCTGGCCGGTTGTAGGCACATGTTGGCGCGCACAAGCGTCAGGCAAAGACGATGGAGTGCAAAGGGAGAGAAGGGGAGAGAAGGGGAGAGCAGCAGCAGTGTGTTTGTGATCTGAGCCAGGAAACCAACCGGATGATCTGAGAATACTGTGGGGCGATGTCATCCGTGACGGGCGCTTGAAACAGGCCATGAACGTCCTTGCTACAAATACGTTCGGCCGCCAGAAGGAGGAGCAGCGATGAGATGGGCATCAGATCAACAGACAGTTGGATGCCAAGATGGGCTGACCAAAGTATTCCCCCTGATGTGGTGGTTGGGATGCATGATTCATACCTGGAAACCTGATTATCGATGCGCCGAAGGGCATTGGTGAGCACCCGGCGATAGACGGTCCGGGGACTTATGTCCTTGCGTTTGACGGGGCCGGCTTTGGCGCGGGGACCACGTTTGCCCTATAGAGCAGCGTTGATGGCAAAGAAGAGGGAAAGGGAGGAGGGGGAAGAGGAGGAGGAAGAGGAGGAGGAGGAGGAAGAGGAGGAAGAGGAGGAGGAGGAGGAAGAAGAGGAAGAGGAAGAAGAGGAGGAGGAAGAGAAAGATGACACCGAAAGAACCGTTAGATGAGTTCGGTATGGACAGAGCCAAAGGCGTAACGAGGTCTGGGCGGTGTACCAACCTTGGCGGGCGTGGGACGGGCCGGCATGTTGCCGCATCACATGAGCGGAACGCAATCAGCGGGGCTCCGGCATGGGTGGGTGGATGGGACAGTTGGGGATCGGTACGTCACCCCCAGAACAGCAAGTAGTACCGCTTGCCACTACAGACATGATGATCATGATCATGATCATGATGAACAAGTACCGGTAAGCCCAATAAGCCGGGAGAACAGCAAGGCCACGGCATTTGCGGGGCAGCGAGAGAGGAGAGAGGAGAGAGGAGAGACTGTCTGTATGTGTGTGAGTGTGGTGTGTGTGGCATACAACTGCGGACCCAGAGCAGGTGATGACATGACATCTCAGCGGGTGGGGGTGGTGACGCACAGGCAAGCAGACAGGCAGACAGGCAGGTGGTGGTGGTGGTGGTGGGGTGCATGGGAAGCAGGGATCGGGATGGCGGGAGAGATGGCCTCTGGGATACCTGTGGCTCTGTTGATGACGAGGGAGGGGAGGACAGCGGGAGCGAGGCCGTTGAGCCAGTCAAGGCCAAGCCGGGACAAGGAGGACAACAGGACAACAGGGGACAGCGTACACACACAGGAACACAGAGAGAGAGAGAGGAGGGGAAGGAGCAGAGGGGGCAGCGCAAGGAAGGAAGCCAGCAGCAGCAGCAGCAGCAGCAGCAGCAGCAGCTTCAGCTTCAGCGTCAGGTGCCCGTCAGGACCACCCGTCAAACGGATCCCGGTTTAAGCTTAACTTGCAAGCGGGTGGAAACCCACGCGCTGCGGAAACAAAAGAAGAACAAAAGGAGAACAAAAGAAACAAAAGAAACAAAAGGAGAACAAAAGGAGAACAAAAGAAAGTGTTGGTGCAAGGGAATCAACGCGTGGTGTGGGCGTGTAACGTGTGTGTGGGCCGTAAGGGTGGGGACCTACGGGAACAAATGCAACCTTGGAGTACAGACCATCTGGTCTCTCTCTTATGTGTGTGTGAGTGTTGATGCAGTGCATCATGTAAGGACAAAAGGGGTTTTCGAGTGTGGTGTCGCCTGAACAAGAAAAAGTCCCCTTATGTGTGTATAGTGTAATAAAGTGTAAGCGTTGTGGTGGACCAATGGACGTGGGCAACAAGCTGATTAAAATGTAAAGTTAGAGGGGTATGAATTTGGAGCCATCCTGAAAAATGGTTCTCGAAAGTAAAAGGCGCGTCCTGCTGTTCCTCGTTAGCTTCGCAGCGCGGCCAAGCGCGCGGAAAGGTCGTCGGCCTGGCCCGTCTCTGCCTCCTCGGCTGCTGCTGCCACCGCCTGTGTTTGGAATTGGAAAAATGGAAGCAGGCAAAGGTATGCGCATAGACAAGGTGGATTGGACATGAGCCTGGCCGTTCAAGCGGGTTGATCCAAATCGGGCCCACTTGGAAGCAGAACGAACCGGCGTGCGGGTGGACACGTTGGCGCCCAAGAGACCTGAGGTCAGCTCCATCAAAACCTTTTCCACTTCCTCTTCAGCCTCTTCCTCCATATCACTGTCATCCAGAACAGAATCCATGGTATCCTCCATCATTTCCTCAATCAAACCCGCCTAGCCAGACACGACACTTGGTGAAGACGCATGCCCAGGCGCGTGCAGGGGTAGTCAAGCACGTTCACGAGACGAATCCCACACCTTTTGCATCTCCATGCTCATTTGTCGCATCGTCTCCTGGATTTCAGGCATGCGCACCAGCTGCTGCATCATCGCCATCACCTCAGCCGACTTACCCATGGCCCCAGCCACTCGCGCCATACCTAGTGTCAGACAACAAATGATAAGAAATAAAAATATCATCAACAGGCAAGCAAACGCCGACGACTGGATTGTGCACGGCCCTGAAACCCGCGCAGCCGGACCATGACCACCGCGACACTTACTGGCTTGCTGCTGGATTTGCATGGACACGGAGTTGATCTGGGCCTTGGTCTTGTGGATGCGGTTCTTGGCTCGGCGCGATTCTACCAGGCTCTTAGCCAGCACCTTGGCCACGTCCGTCTGCCCACCCATGTGCAAATCCAAAGGCAGGAAGGAGGGGCATTCAAGACGCGTCAGGTGCCCGACAATCGCGCAATCAATGTCGTGTGTCCCCAAGGCTACACTGGGATGGAAAGTGGTCAGGGACAAACCTGTCCTTTCTTCGCTGCGTCGCGAACGCTCTGCTTAATCTTCATCTCCTCCCGTTCTATCCCTGGATGAGACCGGATAAGAATCCATTGCATCAAGGGTGGTGCATGCAATCAGACACACGAGCACGCTATCCAAAGCACGACACGTACGCATAACTTGTCGGTCAAGACCGCGCATCTCCTTGCGCAGTGACGATTTCCATTCCCGAATCTGCTCCTTGGGATCCGGTGGTGGCGCGGAAAACCAGCCCATGATGCACAGTTATTGAAGATTGCTGCTCCAGAAAACCGCAACGGCCTCGCGTCTCAGTCGGCGCGACACCAACGAACAAGTGTGTCCAACAAACAGAGCGTTGCTGTCCTGAACCGCCCGCGGTCGTACAGCGGAGGTTTCTGCAAGCAAACAAATGGGGGGATGAGGGGTGAGGGAAAGGAAAGGAAAGAAAGAAAAAATCAAGATGAGCCGCACGATACACCAAAGTACATCCTTTGCCTGTCCATGTCCCCTGCCATGAACAGCCATGCTCGAGCCCCGGAAGCCCTCGTCGGACTGTGTACTTCATGCAACAACTGACCACAAACGAGCAGAAAAAAAAAAATCACACACACACACACACACACACACACACACACACACACGAAACAACAACAACAAATGGAGGCACATGTAGCTTCTCCTATGCATCAACGAATTTGAATTTGGGGCTTTGACCAGTGCGCGCAACGGGTGTAGATTCAGGCAGAGAAGAGCCAGCACGGGTGGCCTAACATGTCAATTGTTGTTTTGTTTGTTCCATTCGAGCACACTCAAGAAGCAAGAGCGCCCTTCTCCGCTTCTTATCGCCATTCGAAAAGATGGTGGCGAGAAACGCAAGAGCATTGATACACCAACAGCTAGACGCCAAACCATAAATCCAAGACCGGGCCGCAAAATGTCTACCACTTGACCACCGACTTGAACCCTCGTCGGTGAAAAAAGCCGTGGCGCGGCTTGACAAAGCTAAGCTTGTTTTGAGCTACCAAGTCAGAGCATCAACAAAAGGTGAGCGGGATGGGGGCGCCAGTGACGCGCCCTCGCCGTGTTCCTTCGCAATTAGACCCGTTGTGTACTGACCCTCGTCGTCATCCTCGTCACCATCATCCTCCCACTCTATTTTCTGTTCCATGCCAATCGGCCAGATCAGATTGCACACCGATGCCAACGGGTTCCGGCAAACCATCGACACGCCGTCGCAGCCATGTTCGTGAGACACGCGTTCCGAGACGCGAACACGATCCTGTCGCAGCTTGGACACGCACGACGTACCGTGCCTTCCTTGAGAAGCAAATCTCGCGCCGTACTCCATGAAAACCGAACCAAGCCTGCGTGACCCGGAGCATCGGTGTTCATCGACAGCGCGATCAAGCCGAAAGCCTTGTGAGCCAGGCGCAGGTTTGGAACGAGATGAAAGGCGCAGTGTAACAGAGCAGCCGTCACACGAACTGGGAAATCCAAAAATGGGATCCAACACTTTGCGGAGCCACGCCTTGGTGCTCGAGTCGCCCGGGTATCCGCAGCCAAAGTCGTTATCGATTTCTCGCTAGCCACAAGAGACATCCGCCCCATCCAGCCCATGAGCCAGGCACATGGATGCATGTGTTGGCTGAAGTGAAGGAGGACCGGAGAGTGCCTCGCACGCACCTGCTCTGGATGGCGCCAGTACGTCAACACGGCATCGCGTGTGACTTTGGCACAGATGGAGGCAGCTGACACAATGGGATAGGTGACATCAGCCTACGTGGAGACATCACAAGAACAGGAACACACGTTGGCAATGTCTAGAATGAGAACACAAAGATCACTCACGCGATGCGTGACGCAAAGCTACAAAACACTCGATCAGAGCAAGGACACGTTCGGTTCAAACCTTGCTCTCCACAACAATCTTGATGTTGGGAATGGTTGGTCGCAGCCAGTTTTCGAGCTGTTGCTGATAGATGTGGGCCTTGCCCACCGTGTCCACGTACAGCTGACGATGATTCAACCGCAAGCGGTAGGTCAGATCCTCAGCCAACGAACGATGGTGAGATGATGAAGCAATCACAATCACGAACCTCTTTGATCTGTACGCCCTGAGCGTGCAAGCGCTTGACCAGATCAACCGTCGATTCGTGTGCTTGAGCATTGAGATTGTGCTTGGTCCTACAAACGCATTGTTGAGCACATGAGAGGAGCAATGGTCAAAAGCGTGTGTCTGTTTGCCTTCCTGGCATTGCAAGGCCTTGCGTGGTGGGGAGGCGGTGGGAAGAGCACGAGGACACGCTGCTACTACGCAAGATGCGGGAGCAGCAGAACGAACCGACTCAACATGCCAGCCGAAATGTCCGAGGCAGCTAGCATGTGAACTTTCCAGCCCATCCAATCAGCATTTTCCTTGATCACTTTGAACAACTCGTCCCGCTTGGCCTCTGAGAGCTGTTTGGAGTCTATTCACCGGGCGAGTCCCGCCAGCCGCACGTCAGGAGTCGACAACAGCAGGGCATCACAGTCGCTGGTGGCAAGCCTGACGCACCAGCAAAACCGAGCTTTTTCATGCGTGCATTTTCTGAGAGTGGTGCAAAAGCCACGGCATAGACCATGGGGCCTAGTACGGGGCCACGACCGGCTTCATCTACACCGAGTACACATGGCTCGATTTTACAGCGCTCGGGTATGTCTGATTCGATGCGCTGCAGTCCGGGATGGGTGCGGGCGCGGGCGAAGGGCGATAGCAGCGACATTTGTAAGAAGTAACACCTTCCATCCCATTTTTGGCCATGCACCTATCCCCCCCCCCCCCCCCCCACACACACACACACACACTGCTTGATCAAGCTGACTCAAGGCACGCTACCTCGCTTGAACGGTTGCGCTCCTGGGCGTATTGGCGTGTGATGCCATCAAATCGCTCAAAGCCCTCAATCTTGGTTTCGACGGTAGTTCCTGCGCAGATGCAGCATACCATTGGTGACGGTGCAAGCACACGACTGGCGACAAATGCAAGGAGAGCGGCAGGAAATCGGCTTGGCGAACCGGGGGCCTGGTCTTCGGTCTGCAGGGCCTCGGCGAATAGATTCTCAGCATCCATCAGCTCGCTGGCCTCCTCAGCATGGCTGTCTGGCTCAAGCACAAGCTGTTTGCTGCGCTTGGCTGCCACCCTTGGAGAGCTGCAAGTACAAACACCACAAGGATAGCATGGATCCGTCAATCAGCGCGTTAGCCTTGCTATCACCAGCAAGCAGCCCAAACGCTTGAGCCCGCGGTCAA